TATATATATATATATATATATATATATATATATATATATAAATATATAAAATATATGAAAAATTGATGTGCGTACTCAAATGAAAGGTTTCGATGAGTGTAACATCGAGATGAGCTTATATCTTTAAAAATGTGAATATTTCACTAGATACAAGGTAATTTCTTAATTATGTATCTATAGAGATATATATTCAAATGCAGCCTAAATACTTGTGGACTATCCTGGAGCCAAAATTTTCCTTATTCTCTTAAAATTACAGATTATGTAATACAAAAATAATTACCAACGGTATGTTCAACAAAGTCTTTGTGATCCTTATAAAAATTCTGGTAAGCCGGCAACTTCTCTCTGACAAAAATATAAAGCAGATCATGGATAAGCTCTCCCTCCAAGAAGCGGACTGGCTTGAGAGCAAGCAGAGGGTCCAATAAAAAAGTGTTAGGATCGGCAAGAGCCGCTTGGATACAATGCTGGGCGTCTTCTCGAGCCTCGCTGGCGTTCTCAGCTGTGTAAGTTCCCAGTAACTCGACCATCACCGCAGCAGCCTGGTCGCCTTGCTTACAGCTGAGGAGAATTTCGTGGAGGAGACGCAGAAGTTTCTGCATCTGCTCGTTGTTTGGCGGGAACGCCTTGAACTGGTCTTTAAGTTGCTCGACTCCGCTGTAGACCGCGTGCATCTGATTGACGTTCCGGGCTACCTGGACCAAGTGGTAGTACACGTGGTACCGCATTGGTGATTTTTTCTCCAGGGATTGGAAGAGCAGCCATAATCTAGAAATAATTAATTTGTTTTTAATATATATTAATATGATCATAATTATCATCAAAGGTGCAAATTTTTTTTTTTTAATTAAACTTACGCTTTCAGACAAACTAAACCAAGTTTTTGACCGGGAGCTTTCTTTAACTTGTCACAGAAAACTAAGATTAAATTTTCAGCACGTTCAACTGGGATCTGGAAATTGTTATTAAAAATTTTATTTAGTTAAAAAATTACGTTGTATCTTGTGAACTATTGACATTTTTAAAAATATAAGCTCATTCCGATGTTAAGCTCGTCGAGACCTTTCATTTGAGTACCCACATCAATTTTTCATATATTTTATATATTTAAATATATTGTAAATATGTATATATGAAAAATATATCTAAAATGCATGTAGGTACTCAAATGAAAGCTCTTGATGAGTGTAATGTCAAGATGAGCTTATGTCTTAAAAAATCTCAATAATTAAGAAATGACCTTGTAACCTGTAAACTATTGACATTTTTTTAAATATAAGCTCATCCCGATGTTACACTCATCGAGATCTTTCATTTGAGTACCCACATTAATTTTTCATATATTTTATATATTTATATATATTATAAATATGTATATATGAAAAATATATAAAAAATTGATGTGGGTACTTAAATGAAAGGTCTCGATGAGTGTAACATCAAGATGAGCTTATATCTTAAAAAATGTCAATAATTAAGAAATGACCTTGTATCTTGTAAACTATTGATATTTTTTTAAATATAAGCTCATCCCGATGTTACACTCATCGAGATCTTTCATTTGAGTACCCACATTAATTTTTCATATATTTTATATATTTATATATATTATAAATATGTATATATGAAAAATATATAAAAAATTGATGTGGGTACTTAAATGAAAGGTCTCGATGAGTGTAACATCAAGATGAGCTTATATCTTAAAAAATGTCAATAATTAAAAAATGACCTTGTATCTTGTAAACTATTGACATTTTTAAAGATATAAGCTCATTTTGACATTACACTCGTCGAGACCTTTCATTTGAGTACCCACATCAATTTTTCATGTATTTCATATACTTATATATATTATAAATATGTATATATGAAAAATATATAAAAAATTGATGTGGGTACTCAAATGAAAGCTCTTTATGGGTGTAATGTCAAGATGAGCTTATATCTTTAAAAATGTCAATATTTAAGAAAGTACACTGCAATTTAAGAACAGTGCAAGTAATAATAGTAATAATTTTTGATTAAAATTTGATAGTTATTATTTTTGAAAAATTGAGTAAAAAATTGTTTTCATATTCTTAGATGTCAATAATTATATTTTAAAAGAAATTAAATAGTTACATTTTATAATTCTTTATAAGTAATTTAAAAAAAAAAAAACGTAATGAGTTTGTTAATTTTCAATAATTTTACAAAAAAAATTATAACAAAAAAAATTAAAAAATTGAAATAAATTAAATATTGTTAAAAAAAAAAAAATAATATCAATAATAACAATAATAAATACTCACGTGAATTAATATGGATACAATATCATTAAGCGTATTCTCAATATCAACTTCATTAGACTCCTTGAAACAAATGTCACAGACTCCAATAATCTTATGGAGATCATCCTCTATTCCACGTGGTGATTTTTCCTCGCTTATCTCAGCTCCAAGACTCTTGAAATAAACCCTCAATTCTTGGGCCTAAAAAATTTAAAAAATTAATAATTAATTTAAAATAATCTTAATAATAACAATAACAACACAGTAAAATTCATTAAAATTGTAAGAGAAAATTTTTAATAAGCTGTCGTAGAGGTTATAATTTACATATAATTGTTTTTAATATACATTAAGTAAATAATTACCTGATCCTCGGGTGGAAGATCCATAAAAACAGCTGGGACAGTCATTGTGATTTTTGTTTAAATATTTTCGACAGAATAGATATTACAACCCGGTGAAACAAATTCGGTATTTTATATTTTAGTAATTTATTGATGGGTATTGGTTGAGACACGTAATGACTGCCATTTTTTTCTAGAGGAGGGGAAAATAAACGCTAGAGAAGCTACAGATTGCTGTGAGGTCGCTGGGTGACCTTTTTTGACGGTAAATTGACAGATGCGCATGCGCGGGAATTTAAATTTTATAGCGCGAAAATTTTGAATTTCAAATTTAAAAATTGATAACAATAATACATTTTTATAGAATTGATAAGATAAAAAATATTGTTTTCAAAAGTTAACAAAAAAATTAACTTAATTAAAGAAAAAAAAATAAAGTTTAAAGAAAAACAAGATGTTTTTCATATTTCCGGCGTTTTATAAAATGATAAAAATAATCGATACTGATGATTTAATTTTCAATTATTATTCCTTTGAGTTTCTTATTGCGCTCTAAAATTTTTTTTTTCTTCGGAGCTTACAATGATAAAATGCTAAGTTTTATTCAGTATAAAACCGCGCGGTAGCTGAAATATATGAGCAGTACAAGGTTTTGCACTGAGATGCACCGAGATAACGCTGGTAAAAGGCGAATATTGAATTTTTATTTAAACTATTGATTTTAAAAGTTTGCCACAACAAATATTGCCATGGAAACTGTGTATTATTTTCACAATTTTTTCTGCATTACACGTCACTAGAAAATTGTCCTTTGAAGGAAGCAGACGTTCAGATTTTTCGAGAAAAATTTCGCAGTCCGTCAATCTAACTTAACTTGAACAATTTTTGCTGATAAATTCGACAAATTTTCATTAATTTATATAAAAAATAATTTAATATCATAAAAATCGAAAATGAAGCAAGGAATTATCTTTATCTGTTTGGTTATTGTGAGAGTCAGCGGGAATATAATGATAATTAACGATCGCCAGCAAGAAAATTCTTTAGGACGTCTGAAACGCAACGCGGTAAGTCTTATTGCTTATTTTATAAAAAAAAAATGACTCTAATTTTAAATAAAAATTTAACGAAATGATTTTTTACAGAGGGAATTGGTTGAAATGTGTTTCACGAATAATTCAAATCCAGTGATGATCTCCGAGGACTTGCTCGACGATAATTGGAACCCTGCTAAAAATTCGCTGATTGTAATCGACCGCAAATTCAACAAACAGATGACAGGTTTTCTACCCGCGTATCCAACATATGTTCTTCCATTTAAGTCGATCGATAGTTTAAAACCGGTCATCGACAATCTCCAAAGATCAAAGTTTTGGAACATAGGATCACCGTTTCTGATGGTCGGTACCGGGTCGCGTTGCTCCAGCCCCAAGAAAATACTAGAGTTCATGTGGAACCGAGACTTGCTCTCTGTTTATTACCTGTGCGAGAATAAAAATTCGTCGGTAATCTACAGGCTGAATCCTTATGCAAGCTACGCTCCAGCGCCCTGGAAGCTGATTGAAAAATTTGACGACAGTGGCAAAAATCTAACTCTTTTCAGGCTCGAATATATAAAAGGTACTTTAAATATTGAATATTTCAGTTGTATCCTAAAAATGATAACTCGTTCTTTATTTTCAGACCTACTGATTTGCAAGAGCATCACCTTTGACAAGACAGATCATCTAGAGAATGCAGAAATAAAATTTGTTCAATTTAGCAATGATGAAATTTTCTCAAAAGAGGAAAATACAAAATTTGCCGAACTCATTGTGAACAGGGGATTGGAAGCAGATATGTTATTAATTTGTATAAGATATCAGCTTTAATAAATGCCACGGCAGTATTAGACATTATTCCTACTTCTGTAACGCAGCGAAGTGCCATCCAAGAATTTTTCGACAGCAGATATGACATTAATGACCGTTCCATGTCGATCGACGTCACTGACTATGAGTACGTTGATATCATTGCGGACTATTCTTATAAAGATACATTTTCAATCCTGACCAAAAAGACTGATTCTTTAACAGGGATCAGCGAAATAACCAACAATATACAGTTTGTAATAGGAGCAAGCTTGCTTTTGATCATGTTTACAATAGTGATGGTGATCATCAACAGGGATGACATAGGTTTAGCTGTAATGGAAATGGCGAGGTTAGTTACTGGTATGGCGCTTGAAACTCCACTAAATCGTCTTGCGATAAAGTTTATCTTCTTCTTTGGTTTCCTGTTTGCATTTCTGATAGTTCCTGATTGTCTGGGCAACATAATAGCCATGTTAACGAAGCCTCCGAAGCGTAACGTCGATACGCTGAGGGATCTTTATGAGAACAAGTTTCATGTTTACTATTGGGACGCATTGGAGAGTGATATTATGAATGAACAACTGTGGGTCACTGATGAAGACAAAAAATATCTTCATCCAATTCCTGATCATTATGACTTACAGAACTGTGGTTTAGCCGTAAGAAAAAACTCGGCAACAGCTTGCGTTTTTTTTACACATGTCTCACTATTATTATCGAGATTTGACGATTCGTTGTACACTTCAACGGAGGCTATCTTTAAGAAGCAATTCGTTTTTTGGGCAAAAAAGAATTGGCCCTTGATGAGTAAGTTCAATGAAATGGCGCTGAAAGCTTCGGAACCACTACCAGGATTCACCAGGATTGTTTTTTCAAAAAAAAATATCTCTATCAGAAAATGAAAAGCTATGCACAGAAAGCAAGAATTAAAGAGAGGGAAAAGTACACGGGAAGAAAATTGAAGGAGTTTTTACTCTTTTACTATTGTAATTTTTACTAAATAAAATAGTAACGGTGGACTATACTTCTCATTTAGTAATTTTTACGATCTACTATTGTAAATTTTATCCAACGAATAAGCCTAGCAGAGTTTTAAAAAGTCGAATACTATAGAGCAAATTATACAATATGTGTTTGTGAACTTTACAATTCAACTATTGCAAAAATTCACAGTTGGTTTTTTTAAAAGAAATATTAGGGAGGGAGAGAGATAGAAGGTTGCACGAATTGGTACCTGTACAGTAATCGAAAAAAGAAACAAATATTTTCGTGCTATCTGGGAATCGAACCCAGAATTCTGTGTTGGTAGCCAGAAACTCTCCCTTTAGACTACCCGCGGTAAACTAAGACCTATGTCCTTTAACATTTATATAAACTCAGAGTCTAGCGCTGTGCACGGCCATCACTCACACTAATTGAGAGACATTCCAATTCAACTATTGTAAAATTTGCTATAGTTCTATTGGAAAGATACAGAGGCAACACTGGAAATTTTCATCTCTTACTTTTTACAATAGTAATATCGTATTTTTTCATTAATAAATAGTATTTTTTCTTCTAAAATATTTGATAATTAATAGTAATAAAGGTATAGTCCAGCTTTACAATAGTTGTATCGTAAATTTTCCCAGAAATTTTTTCCCGTGTATGAGCACTTTGATTATGATGAATTGATTTTTAGTTATTATTATTCCTTTGGGTTTCTTATTGTGCTCGCGATTGTGATTTTTGGGATTGAGATAATACTTTCAAGATATTTAAGAAATTACAGACAGTTTCAAATTCGAGCGCGTAACTAACTAGTCAGTTTGTTTGTGTATTGAACTTTGTTAATTATTGTCTAGTGTGATTTCAAATTTTGAATCAAATCAAAGAGTGGTTTTTCATTAGATCTTTATCTTTCACAAGCATATTAATATTTCTTTTTAATTATATCTTGAAATATGTAATCAAAGTTAATTAATAAATTAAGATAAATTCAAAATAATTTACTAAATAATTTTACCTTTTATTTTAATACTTGCGATATTTATTTTGTGACTAATATGCATTATTTATGATACAAGGACGTGTTAATTATTCCATTAGTTAATTCGCAGCTTATCTATTTTTCTTCACTGGCTCGTTTGTTTTCCTTATTCGCAATTGCGAATAAGTAAATATCGTAATCAGTCAATTCAACATTGTGCAATTTTCAAGTGTAAGTATTTAATATGTTAAATATATCCAATAAATGTATTAACAATCTTAAGAATATAATAATAATAATAATTATATAAAATACTTAAGATTGAAATATAAGTGGACTGCATATATATTGCCGCTAAAAGGGTTTTATTTAAATGATTTATATAATTCAAAAATTTATTTTTTTAATATATTCTTCCTCAAATTTTGTTGTGTACTTAAATTTATAAAAATAATTGATAAATTTATTGTTTAGCAGTACAATTTTTAGTTGCATGGTGGTGGACAATTCTGCGGTAACGAACATTTATCGCCATTCTTGACGTATCCTTTGTCACATCGACAACCTGCTGTATACTTAGTGCATTGCTAAAAAAAAAAATAATAATAATATTTATAATATTCATAATTATAAACAACTTACAATTCTTGGGCAGTTTTTAGGGTTAAGATTATCGCATGACGGTGCACATATACTTCCGCATTCATTATAACTTGCGTTGTCACCACACCCGTCACCTAATTATATTAAACAAAAATTTACAACCATTATTAAGAAAATTTATTAATTATTTAAAAATAATAGCGATTTTATATTCACCCTCATTGACGGCAACAATCGTCAGAACAAGGAAGACTATTAAGTATCTCATGTTTGAAGTGTTACTTGTATTTTTTAAAGTGATCGGAGCACAACTGATGAAAAAAGTGAACAAGTTTCTTTATATATCTTATCTCTTAAGCTAATAAGGAAAAAAAATCCACGTCATTAAATAAATAAGGAGTTCCACGTGAAGTTAAATTTTTAAAACTTCCTGAAAATTTGTAAATTTAATCTACGTAAATAATTAATAAAAAATTAAAAAAAACAGTAAGTTTTCGGGGTTTAATCAAATAATTAGCTTTGAAAATTGTAATTTTTACATGAATGGAGATTCCACCAGCCATTTATTTGGATAAGAATTTAATGCAATTAACGATTTAAAAAAAATTTTATTTAAATTTTACTTAAAAACAATAAAAAAAGAATTGTTTACGTATTATTTTTTTATAGACGATCTTTACACTTGGATCTCCTCCAATTCAAATAAATTTTACCATTAAAATTTCATTTTCAAACTAAACACCAAGCGCCATCTGACAGAAGTTAAAAAAACTAAATCTTACAACATATTAACCCCATTTATTCTCTAAAAAAACAACTCAATTATTAAAAAAAATTTTGTTTATTAACAAAAGCTTATGTACATTTTAAAAAATAATTTATATAAATTTACTAATATTTACATTCTATGCAATGTAGCACTCGTCAAAACCCTGAGATTAATTCAAATTGTCTAAAAGTCTTATCTATATATTAACAATATTCCTAAACCTTTAATAATTAGGCATGTGTTGTTGAATTCCTGATGAATCTTGTCGGGTTGATATAATATAAATATTATCTTGAGGTTGTCCCAAATGAGCATTTCCATTTGACTCAACAGCAAAGCTTTGATGACTTCTAGCTGTACCAGTAAAATTTTGACTACTTCCAGCCGTACCAACAGCAAAATTTTGACTACTTCCAACATTACCAACAGCAAAATTTTGCTGATGTCCTGTCTGTCCATGATGACCATACCGAAGATTTGGATCTATTGCTAAATCCAGTACCTGATCTTGCCTGTACATATAATTAGGTCCATTCCACTGTTGATAATCCCTCGAAAGAGCAAGAGGCTGAACAAACTCATGCTGATCTTGAATTGATCTTACCCTGCCAACAATCGGAAATTGATAATTCGCAACTGGTATCAAATTGTGTCCATTACTTTGATCAACATTAGTCACCGGATGACTCGAAGAAGCCAAGTAACCACTAGGTCCAGGATTGAATTGCTGAGCCTGTACTCTCGGAACCTCCACCTTCTTCTGGGAATAATCAGCCGGGTACTGCAGCCGTTCATGCTTACTATTAGCTACCTGATCTGGCAACTGGCTTTGCGACTGATACTGAGCTCTAGGTGAGCTCTGAACACTGTTCAGCCGAATTGGTTGAGGTTGCACAACGCGAGGCGGCTGCGAAAGGTTCTCCGGCTCATCATCACTGTCACTGATTGTAATCACCGTTATTTCACGCGACGGAACATCACGAACCACACTAAATCGTTGAGCAAAGGTGCTGCTTCTACTTTGAATTGTCCGCCATCGTCCTGAAGTGGTTGGTAGGTGTCTTCCAGAGCTAGAAGTACTAGAAGTGCTTTCTCTGGCTCTCTTGGCTTTTGGCGAATGAACCACAGAGAAGCTCCTAACGTCGTTGTTCCAAACTTGTCGCCAATTGGAGCTATCATCTGGTTGAACCATTCCAGGCTGTGGCTGTTGCCATGAACCTGTAACTTTCCGAGCTCCAGTCCAAGATTGAACTGGATAAGGAACCAGCACTGGTCTTGTTTCTGCTGATCCAGGAACTGGGTATTGCTGAGCTGGTTGTTCTAGCGACTGAATTGTCTGAATTGGTTGCGAAAACAGCGTAGCTTGGCCATTGTTGAACAGCTGGTACAAATTGAACTTCTGATCTCTAACCGGCCGCTCAGGCTGCTCTGCCAATAGGTTGTTGAAGGTAAGGGTAACAGTCGGGATGAAATTGACAATCACAGAAGTCGGAGATGTTTTGGGTGCAGGAAGTAACTGATGTGGATTCGCCATAGTACCTTGTTTCATGCACCTCTCCATAACTTGCAAAGAAGCCTTGACATTATTGCAGTGGCCGTAATCGACCAAGTGTCCTAAGGTCAGAAAAGCATGAACCAAAGCTTCTTCAGGCTTCACACGATGTTGCTGATCCATAGCGAGCATCTTCTTCAGAAGAACAAGGAATTCTCGCCTATCAGCAGTCTCTGCTAGCAACTGGCTCGCTTCCAAGCCTACTGTGGTGTAGACCTGGGTGATGTCGTCCAAACAATTTAGGATGAACTTCCTCGCTTCCTTGGACTTCTTGACACCCGTTTCTGCTTCGTAAGCCTCAGGAGTCTTCAATCGCCAAAGTGGGTGCGTGCTGTTCTTGTCTTTGTAAAAGAACTTGCTGGATTTGCTGGCGTTGTTCAGCATCTCCTCTGTTGGCAGGCCTTGGGTCTGGCTAATGTACCGGATTTGGTCGTACTCAGAGCGGCCGGGGTAGAGTGGCCAGCCGAGAAATAGCTCAGCGACGACGCAACCTAACGACCACATGTCTATCGATTCGCTGTAAGGAAGACCCAGAAGTATCTCTGGAGCGCGGTAGTACCTTGATTGCAAGTAAGTATTTCGATATATTCTTGCGGAGTAAGATGCTGATCCAAAATCGATTACCTTGACGCGGAACGGCTCTCGAATTGGATCCACTAGCATGATGTTCTCGGGTTTTAAGTCTGCGTGAATTATTCCCAGGTTCTTGAGCTTGACCAAGGTCACGAGGACTTGCTGGAGGATTGGTCTGATGTAGCGCAGTGGCAAAGGCGCGAATTTGTTCTTTTGGAGAAAGTCGTAGAGATTTTGCTCCAACATCTCGAATACTAAGCAAGTGTGGGATTTGTGGGTGAAACATTCGTAAGCACGGACGAAATTGAATTCATCCGCGTTTTCCTTCCCTAATTTGGAAAGGATGGAGATTTCTACTTGGCCTTGGCGAGCGTAACTTGGGTGACTTTTGAGGATCTTCACGGCGACAATCTCGTTGGTTCCTTTCTTCCAGCATTTTACAACTTGGCCGAAGGTACCTCGGCCGAGGTAGTCAAGGACTTCGTATTGGTGCTTTTCAGAGCACAGGACTTCGTGCTTTACTAGGTGGTAGTCTCCTTCTTGTCGGGAGGTACTGGCTCCGCTGGTGCTAGCTTCGGTTTTTATGCTCTGGGACGTCATTTGGATGCGGCGTGACTTTTATGGTTGTCATGCCTAGAAAATGAGGAAAAGGAAGTTATTAATTGATTTGTCCAACAATATTGTTAGAGGATAAAAAGAAATTTTGTTGGGTAAGTAGATTAATTATTTTGTTAGCTATTTTATAAATAAAATTATTTCCAAGACAGTAACTATAGATTTTCGAGCTCGAAGTTGGATTTTTAGATTCAAAAGCTACTAACTTTACAATATAAACGTTTTTTAGCGTTTGTTAACTTTAATATAACAGAAAATGTCCAGGGATTGCCTTTAGAGTTAATCATATCCAGGATTTTTAAATTGTTACAATAATAAACAAAATTTTAAATTATAACTTTAATGACAATTTTCGAGAAAAGCTTCTCTGAATTTTACAACTATTTTTTCCCAAAATTATTTTTTTATCCCAAAAACAATGACTTTGTTACAGCAAAAAAATGATTTTGTTACTGCAACAAAATTAACAGAGTAATGGTAGCTAAATTATTTTATAGTCCTAACAAAATCATTTTTGGACAACAGATTACATTTAGTGACGTAACAAACTGCTTTGTTATTACAACTTGACTAATTTTATTAAGAAAACTAATAGATTTTTTATTTTGGCTAATTTTTATGCTTACGAAATATTTCAATATAAAATAAGTTGCAAAATTACAATATTTTTAAATAATTAAAATACTTGCAATTTTTTTTACAAAATGGTTATAAATTTTTCTTAAAAAAAATTTAAACTTCGGACAATTTTCCCGGAGTCGTAAACAAATTGCGATTTTTTTATCCAGCCGGACCATTAGCTCACGCGGAAAGATCCAGGTTCGATTCCTCGATATTGTAAAATACTTTTTTTGTCAAAAAAAAAAAAATCTAAAATCACTAAAATATAATTAAAAATAAATAATTTCTAACTTTTAACATAAAAACTATTTTTTTTTGCAAATTTTCAACAAAATAAATTATTTTATAATCCTTAAAAATTTAATCCTACAAAATAATTTCTAACTTCTAATATAAAAACAACATTTTTACATATTTTTTTTTCTCAGTTAAATCTTACATTTTATTATAAAAAAATTTCTACTTACGTTGTCAATATAATTCACCATTATTTTATATTTATTTCCAGTAATATCACTTAAAATTAATTTATTTACTAAAAACTAGCACGTGTTCACGGCATCGTGTTATACTACTGTCCTGCCAAATTTGAGACTACCTGCAAGTAAACTGACCCAAACTGACCCTCAGAGATTCCACTTCCTCAATGCTCTTTTGACATGTAAGGGCCCGTATAGTATACATTATTTGCTTTGCATGCGCATTACGCTTTGCGCATCGTCAAAATTTCGGGGTAGCTTATATATAATATCTCTCTCTTTATTCTTTATATTCTTATTCTTAAAGTCTTATATTCACAAGTAAGCGGAAAATTTATGTCTAATGACATGCTATACTCAATTCAATGCATTTTTCTATCACAATAGAACTTCTGAGAAAAGTTATTGTCCACTGTAATAAGGGACAGATGGTCAGAAGCTTTAGCTAGGTACATTAGAAATAAAAGTAATTTTAATTACTTAATATTTGTAAAGAAAGATTGATTACAATCAATTGTTATTGCAGTACTTAACGAAGTATTTACTAAAAGAGGAACTAAAAAAATTTCAGAAAAAAAAATTTTTATTTTAAATTATTTACTAAAAATAGTTAACAAATTATATGAAAATTTACTATAATTTTTATTATTGTATAAGATTTTTTTTTCAAATAAAAAAAATAAGTATTATCCTCATGATTTTTGCTGCAAATTTTTAAAATTATGGCAAAAGTATTGGTCCTATAAAAATTTTTTTCAAACAAAAGTTATTGAAAATTTGATTTTATAAAAAAAAATGTACGTCTCTTATGTTTTTTCCGTAGGATCTCAAAGTAACACAAAAATTGTATCTGAGCTTAAAAATCTCATAAGTGCAATTTCAAGCGTTTAGGTATGGAATTGGCGGGAAGTTTCAGGGCCAGCCGTTTTCCAAATTTTTTTTGATTTATTTTTAATAAAGAATTAATTATTTTTAAGACTCAGAGTCATGAAAGGTTTATGTATTTTAAATATTTTTTTATTTTTTATTTCATCATTTATTGTTTAAAATTATCGTTTCCAAAATTTCAAACTATATGGAGCGATTTTACTGTACGCTAAGAGACAATACAGTGCATGCGCACAATTAAATCAAACTATAGTGCCGGGAATTATTGCTACCGCATTATGCAAAATATCAAAATCTAAAACCTCATATAAAATTTTGATTTTGACCTAGTAACATTTATTATTAGACTGAAAGTTTTATTTTTATTCAAAATTGTTATTAAAATAACAATTTAAATTATATTCAAGCAATTTTTATAATAAAAAAAATGCGCACTTATTTTTATGTAAAATTTTGGCATAAAGTTGATAGTGGAATTCTGAAAATTATTTTTGTTGTTACGTGCAGTCTCAGATCACATGGAATTGTTGGCCGAGGCGAAGCCGAGGTCAATAAACATGTGGTCTGAGACATTTCTTACTTTACTTCTCTCGGTGTGTAATATACTATTTTCATATAACCTACATTGAAAATGCAAATTTCAAATCGTTTAACACTTATTCACTTTCTAGAAGATTTGAAATTTTAAAATTATTTTGCAAACATGGAGCAAACTTGGACCCAGTAGGTAATAACAATGGGCCAGAAAGTTTGCCAATCCATATGGCAGCTTTTCAAGGAAATACCGATACGATAAAATTTTTATTGAAAAAAAAAATTATTGCAGTATCATATAATGCTCGGCCTTTGTTTTATTTTATAAAAAACCCCGATAATTTTAAATTCGAACGCAATCAAGAACAAAAAAATGCTCTCAAGTTAAAGTCAAGAAACATAATCATTGAAGATGTATATCTCAAATATTTATTTGGATATCCAATACACAACGAAGAAATTAAATTATTGGAACGTGATATTATTAGAGATTCAGTCATATTTTACCAAATGAAATATAACAGAATACTTCCAATATTAAAATCTCATAAGTCATAAAGTATTGTTTGGTGACAACGAAATGTACATTTATGATAATGAACCTCGAAAATACTACACGGTGTAAAATTTTAATGCTGTAATATATGTCTGTTTACTTTGAGCACAGTGTAATTCATTTTGTGACACCATTTCGTGTTATTTATATTAATATAACGTAATAGTCATCTGAGCAGCAAACTGTAAAGCTTTATTTAATTTCATAAATAAATAAATAAACAAATAAGAAATGAAGAAATTAAAGACACGAATAATTTGGAGAGATATCATTAGCATTTAAAAACGACGAAATACATCTCCATCTATCGTCAGTAATTGTAAGAAAAGAAAGGAAAAAAATGGGAGAGAATAGTGTCCACATAAATATATGGACGTTGTAACTCAAAAATTCAGCAGTATAGAACTATCTGCCGTACATACACTAGTGAAGTGAATAAACACGTGGTTGATATTATTACCTTTTTATACGAGCAAAAAAAAAATTATGTCAACATTAATGGGAAATTTAAAGACGGCGATTTTTTTTGGTGATGTTAAGAGAGTGAAAAAATTATTAAAATCATCAGCGCAGATATACCACTCAGTAAAAATCCTTTGATTTTTGGAGGATACAGTTTATTAAAACTAGCAATTAAAATGAGAAATCGTAAAGAGATTGTTAAATTGTTAATCAAGAAAGGTGCTAGAGTGAATAAAAAATATTGTGATAAATCGGCTCCTCTTTTACACATCGCGATTAAGCAACAACACCTAGACATCGTCAAGTTGTTAGTCAAGAAAGGAGCTAATGTTAATGAACCACATCGTCATAAGTTAACAGCAATGCTTGTAACAGTTGTATCTTTAAAAAAATTAAGTATAGACTCTCCATCAATAAACATAATGAAATTTCTTATAAAAAGTAGAGCAGATATACAGGCGAAAGATAAAAATGGTGGCACAGCGTTGGATCTATCCTGCAGTTTACAGCAATTCAAAATGGCCAGATTACTTCTGAAACTTAATATAAAAGTCAATTTCGCGACAATCTTCGATTCAAATGTCATATCTCTATTGCAGTACTTTCTAAGTCATGGAAAGTAGCGAGTTTAATATTGAAGTCCAGCGCATGGGTAAATTCGACGATAAGTGATAGGATATAATTTACTTGTGCCATTGTTGGAATTTAGGTATACCAATAAACAGATTGTTCTCTTTTGGTGAAAATCCGACATTGTTGCATGCTGCGATAGTTGGTCATGACGTTAAAATGGTCGAAATTTTAATAAACCACGGGGCTGACATTCATTACAAGACTGGAATGTTCTTGAGAACTCCATTAATGCTTGCGATTGAGAAGAAACTGGAGCGGTAAAAAGCTAGATGAAAAATGCAATAGAACTATTTATTCAAAACCTATCAATAATTTTTGGGAACTTTCATATTATAAATATTTAGTTAAATATATATCATACAATCTCTACAAGTGTATTATAGCGATGAAAGAACACAGAATAGGAACGAGTACAATCTCGTTCTTTCATTTGTGGACGGCTCCATGGAATCAATTGATTAATCATGCCTATAATAAAGATGTCAGAGAATTGTGTATTAGTGATTATGCTGATAAATATCCTTTGTTCACCTGTATGATCCAAAAACGCTTCAACGGCGCCGTCAAGAGGAGCAAGCTCCTGGAGAAATTTACGGAAAAATTTTTTTTTTTATTAAAAACACTGCCATTTTTGTGTTGCCAAACAATTTTAACCTATTTCGATGATGATGATTTGGAATTATTCAATATATTGACTTATTTATATTATTCCGTTCTTTATTTTTTCTCGCATATTCTATACACTCACATTAAGATGATCCTCTCCACAATCCTTTCTCAATCCTTTCTTACCAAAATATCCTGTTGCGTAAATGTTGCATTATTTATATTTGTTAAAAAATGTGGAACGCTTCACGATTTTGCGTGTCATCCGACACGGCGGAGATCCTAGGGTCCACCTTTACAAGCATGGAATGTGAGTGAATTCCATACATGTTTGTAAATTAATTAAAATTCATTAAAATTGATTACAATGAATTAAAATTAACTAAAATTAATAATTTCGTTAAAAATAATAATATTTATTTTATGCCATAAGATGGACGGCGGAGTTTTTTCTCGCATATTCTATACACTCACATTAAGATGATCCTCTCCACAATCCTTTCTCAATCCTTTCCTACCAATTATCCTGTTACGTGAATGTTGGAACGCTTCACGTAATAATTATCCGTAACTCCTATTCTTTCCCGCTTCACAGCATTATTTATATTTGTTAAAAAATGTGGAACGCTTCACGATTTTGCGTTCCAGAACCCAGTACTACATAGTATATTTATACTATATAGTATTTATATTATATATATATACACATTATAATATCATATAATATTATATAATATCAAATAATATTATATGTATAATATCACATAATATTATAATAATAATAATAATATTATTATTATATTATATTATATATTATATATTTAATTTACAAGCATGTACGGAATACACTCACATACCATGCTTGTAAAGGTGAACCCTAGGAACTCCGCCGTCCATCTTACGGCATTAAATACAGTTCCATTCAATCAACATATTACGGAATTATAATTGACTGATTAATTATTTTTAATCATGAGATTATTAGAACATTAGAAGAATTAAAAAAATATGACTTTTATATTTTTTAATCTATTTTTTTGGGTTAAAAAAAATAATATTTCACTCAAATCAATAAATACTTATTAACTAATAACAAAAATGTACTTTTCTCCCAAATAAATATTTATTGAATGTTAAAAAATATTTATTAAAATTTAATAAATTAAATAATTGTCTTCAAATAAATTAAATTATTAATAGTTAATAACTCCTTCCATCAGTGGGTATAATAATATTTAAAAGTTTAATAAAAGACGATAAAAGCAAAATTTTTTGTAATCTAACTGATAATAAATGATCAAAAATAGAATGCCATTAAATAGTGGAAAAAATAATGCAATTAATTTTTTTTAACTCTTATATCTGGTATTTAATAATTGTGTGCGTTTAAAAATACGCACGCAATATTTCAAACCAACACAAACTTAAATTCAAAGTTTAAAACGCAGAATTGCTAGCTATTAATTTTTAGTATCTGATTTTTGAAACTAAAAGTAGTCTTTAGCTTAAAATGATGTTATTAATAAGCGTTCTATTTATAATTGTTCATGCGGGTTATTTTTTAAACTCTACAGACGCTAATTTGGCCCGAAAATGGAAATTAAATGAGAGTTTCATAAAAGAATGGGAAGTTAACGTTAAATCATCTACGGAAAATGCATCATATTACACTCATGGTCTGTTCCTTGGACCAAAAGAATTTTTGACTTTTGCTCACTGTGTTAAAAAGTAAAGCTTCATTTCTTTTAATTTTTTTCTGTTAAAGAATTTCAATTTATTTTTTGATGATTATATTATTTTTTTCAGAATTGGAGCTCACCAATTTGTTTTCGTCACTAATGAGCACAATGTTGATGTGCCACGTATAAGAAACATCTCTGTTGATCAAAAGAATATCTACTTTGGCATGGAATTGAGCAAAGAATTTGAAGAAAGTCAACGAGAATTCGCAGTCTTCAAAACTAAAGACAAAGTTATTGCGGAATCTGACGTCACTGTTCATACTTTCATCAAAATAGCTAAAGATATCAATCAAGTTGACGCTAAATCTTGTTTCATATTTGGGTCAGAGATTCCCAGAGCTTCGCACGTCAATTGCGAAGTTTTGAATCCGGATATTGTTGGCAATGCTAAGAGGTTTGACTGTGCTGTTGCTAGCCGTGATAATGTAAGTAATTCAAATTAAAAAAAAAAAATTAATATCTATATTTATAAAGATGAACCAATTTGATTGATTCAAAATAGATTTAAATAGGATTAAATACAAATTTGTAATCCACGAAAGAAAATTTCTACGAAATTTTCCAATAAAATTGTCGTAATGCCGGACTATACTTGTATTACCGGGAACTTTCAAATATTTTAGACGAAAATTGTCCAGCGCTGCCTCTGGATCTTTCCAATAGAACTAACTAATTTTACAATAGTTTAATTGGAATGTTTTGTAAATTAGTGTGAGTGTTGGCCGTGCACAGCGCTAGACTCGCGAGTTTATGTCAATGCTCAAGGACATCAATAGTAGTTTACCTCGGATAGCGTAGAGGGAGAGTCGTCTGGCTACCAACTAAACAGTTCTGGGTTCGATTCCCGGACGAGAAATTCTGATTTTTTTTTTTTCGGTTACTGCAAAGTTACCAATCAGTCGAACCTCCTACCTTCTCCCTCCCTAAAATTTATTCAAAAAAAATCTTGTGTCAATTTTTACAATAGTTTAATTGGAAAGTTCACTAACACATCTTGTATAATTAGCTCTATAGTATTGGACTTTTTAAGTCTGTAGGTAGTCTTATTTGTTGAATACAATTTACAATAGTAGATCGTAAAAATTATTAAATTACAAGTATAGTCCACCGTAACTATTTTATTTAATAAAAATTACGATAGTAAAATAGTAAAAATTCCTTCAATTTTTTTTCCGTGTATGCTAATTATACAAAAATTCCCCATGATTGAATTACTCGAACTACGGGTTTACCCGTAGTTCGGGTAATTCCTCAAGGTTTGATAGCACTAATTGAAGCTATGTACGGAAACTTTGACTATATTGGGAATAATAATCAAAATTGTAATTAACTTTCAGGTTTGGCGACAAAGCGGGCTCTTCTGTAACCTGAAAAAGGATTCCAGAACCATAGTCTTGCTTGGTTTGGCGTCAAACGGTTTTTACAAGTCAAATGATTCTAATAATACTCTCAAGTCAGTTATTAATTTAACTGGACTCAATATTAAAACAATTAATCAAGTAACTGGGATAAGAAACTCTTATCGTTACGATTATGAAACTGAAAGCATTGCTATGCTGGAGGAATATTAAATGCAATAATTTGATTTCTTTTTATAGTAATTTTTCTGGAAAATTAGTGAATAATTTTTTATTGTATGAAAAACCACTTATTTTTAAAATGAATTAAAAAAATTAGTAATTAACGATAAATGAAACCCATTAAAGCCTTATCAAACAGCTTAACTTGTGTTTTTCTTAGAATTCCCGAGAAAAAATATTTATATATAATTATATATATTTATATATAAATTGGTTATATATGATTATATATGAAAAATGGCCAAATATAATCATATCTAATTATATATAATTATGTATAATTATATATAACAATATTTAATTATAGATTTATTACATCTAATTAATTATTTGGTTAATTTTATGGATAGAGTATTTAATATGGTCCTACGCAATTCTGTGTAACCGATCAAAATGCAAAAAAAATATCTAGATCTAATTTTATGGCTATAACACCAGCGGTCACCCATCCAACTATTAACCCTTCTCAATGCTGCTTAATTTTGGTGATCTCCGTGCGTCTTGAACTTTCTGTCTGCTGTGCTGCTGTCTTAGACAATAATGATTCTATGATCTACTTAATGCATCATATGAGTTTATCTTAAATATAATATAAAAATTGATTTTATAATATATTTGAATAGTCATAATTCATAATTTATTTATCTTACCGAATTTAATTATAATATAACACTTATTTGAATAATAAAATAAATAATGATTTTACTACTACGTAGTAGCAGAGCAGACAAAACATCTCATAGAAAATGTGACAAATTTTGTATTTCAGAATTATGTAAACGTAATTATAAACATCATTTTACACTTTTCGTAATTACCAAAAAAAAATTTTTTTTCAAAGAAAAAATTTTTATATATGTTAATTATATATAAGCATATATAATCATATATAATTATATAATTATATATGATTATATATAATTCTATATAATTATATATGATTATATATAATTCTATATAATTATATATGATTATATATAATTCTATATAATTATATATGATTATATATAATTCTATATAATTATATATGATTATATATAATTCTATATAATTATATATGATTATATATAATTCTATATAATTATATATGATTATATATAATTCTATATAATTATATATGATTATATATAATTCTATATAATTATATATGATTATATATAATTCTATATAATTATATATGATTATATATAATTCTATATAATTATATATGATTATATATAATTCTATATAATTATATATGATTATATATAATTCTATATAATTATATATGATTATATATAATTCTATATAATTATATATGATTATATATAATTCTATATAATTATATATGATTATATATAATTCTATATAATTATATATGATTATATATAATTCTATATAATTATATATGATTATATATAATTCTATATAATTATATATGATTATATATAATTCTATATAATTATATATGATTATATATAATTCTATATAATTATATATGATTATATATAATTCTATATAATTATATATGATTATATATAATTCTATATAATTATATATGATTATATATAATTCTATATAATTATATATGATTATATATAATTCTATATAATTATATATGATTATATATAATTCTATATAATTATATATGATTATATATAATTCTATATAATTATATATGATTATATATAATTCTATATAATTATATATGATTATATATAATTCTATATAATTATATATGATTATATATAATTCTATATAATTATATATGATTATATATAATTCTATATAATTATATATGATTATATATAATTCTATATAATTATATATGATTATATATAATTCTATATAATTATATATGATTATATATAATTCTATATAATTATATATGATTATATATAATTCTATATAATTATATATGATTATATATAATTCTATATAATTATATATGATTATATATAATTCTATATAATTATATATGATTATATATAATTCTATATAATTATATATGTGATTCCATATATAATCATATATGATCATATACAATTATATATGATTATATAGAAACATTTTTTCTCGGGTTTTTATTAATATACCCGAAAATATATTGATGTCATCGATTTTATTGTCTTAACGGGATATAAATAAAAAGTTTATTAATTACCGTTAGAACTAAAAATTCCGAAAGTAATCTAATAAAACTTCTCCGGCTATAAAAAATTTTTTAAAACTAGTCTTCAACATTTTTAACAGACGGTTTATAAAGAAGAGTTCGAGGTAAGTTAAATTATTTTATAGGTAGAATTCATAGAAATCAATCTTTTGCATTAGTTCTCATGTAATTTATTCAGAATTTTGTCGTAATATCTATTTACTAGTTAAAAAATTTATAAACGTATTATAACGCGGGATGTTGCCGTGATTGTGTCTACAGTTTTTGACGGATCTAGATAAAATTTGTCACACATATTCTTTGGATAATAACTTTGTAGTTTAGAAATGGTAGCTCTTAAAAATTATAAAAATCACGTTTTTGGTGACTTCATTGATGGATAAATTTTAATTGAAAAGAGATGGCTAATTTTTGATAAATTTATTCCTACTTTATTATTAAAAGTTTATATTTTACTAATTTGTAAAAAAAATTTTCTTTAATCAATAGGAAAATCGATTTTTCTCATTCATTTATTTACTTCTGCTGACTTAATTTCATCAAATAGCTCGATAAGCCCATAAATGAATTTTTATAAAAGTTAGTTCCAAAAATTTCCGACAGGCGGCGCATGGTTGATAAATTTTCTCGCTATTAGAGAGTTAATTTTTTAAATATAAGTAAAGAACAAAAAATTGTTTTTTTACTATTTTAAAGAGCCTGTTCATTCTAATTTAGTCCTAATTTATTATTAAAAGTTTATATTTTACTAATTTGTAAAAAAAATTTTTTTTAATCAACAAGAAAATCGATTACTCTCCTAGTAATTTTTCAGCCGTACTAACTTGTATCCGGGTCAAATGTTGTTTTAATAATTTTAAGAATAAATTCATTTAATGTTTGTTATTAACTAACATATTTATTATTATAGTTTTAAGAACAAATTTTGTTTATGTTCGTTATTAATTAACACCTAAGTTTATCAAGATCGTGTTGTCAGCATGCTAAATCCTTTATTTGTGTTTTTTAATTAGTTTTTTTCTAATTATCCTAAATAATTAATAGTTAAATATATAAACAATAATGTGTTGTAAGGTTGAAATAATATAAAAGTCTTTTTAATAAACAACTTGATGTAGACATTTAGTACTTATTTGTCCCACCAGTGACAAATGCCTGTCCCACCAGTCACAATAAAAACAAATTTTTTTAATTTTTTCTACGTAGGTAATCAGTCTAATTCTTCATAATATTCAATGTTTGTAAGATTAATTTTTTATTTTCGAGGAAAGTATTTTTTAAAAGTTTAGTGGACCAACTGACAATTGGACTTTAAGTATACCTTTGGTAAGAGAGAAGGATTTGTTGTTAGTCCCACCAGTCACACTTAGTCAAATGATAATTACGAGAAACTTAAAAAGTAATGGAGGTTTTTGACAAAGGGATCTTGTTAATTAGTTATTCTTCTATATTATAAGATAAATTTTACTATAGTATAAGTTTCAGTCACATAATTATATATAATTGGTGGAATTCCTGAGTCAAATGTTCCACTAGTCACTATGGAATGCCCCATATTAATTGAATTCATTTTTGCATGCCTTAAGCGCGAAGCGCGCAGGTATGCTCTACTCTCGCCTAAAAATCGTGATTTCGATTAAAACGTGATATTCATAATTTAAACGAAAAAAATTATGGATAAAAAGCATATTGAAATAAATAATAGTAACTACAGAACACGTTAAAAAAATTTTCTTATCGATTAAATAAGATTTCTCAGAAAAAATTCGTTTTTCTGATGAATTAAATGAATAAGAGCGTGGTATTCACGGGAGCTATGGGCTTGATAACACCACAACTTTGTCAAAAATCACTTTCACGATTTAATTTTTTTTTTGTTTTATTCCTGAGGAAGTTTATCAAAACCCTTGTGAAAATTGCGTGTCAAAATAATTCCGTTTCGATACAGTTAATTTTTTTCGATTGTCAGTTCGGTGAGTCTTTCTGCGATTTCGGCAGCCATACATATTATTTTTCATAAACAGAATTGAAATAACTATAAACAAGCAGAAACTATACATACATGATGGTATAATTACTAACTGTTTTATCATCTGTTAAAATTTTTCTTTAGTTCGACCTACAGAGGGGATAATACTACTCGCGGGAAAATTCAAATTAAAAACGAATAATTTTTGTTATGATCTAAATAATTTATGTATGACATGAGCGCTGAAGGCATGCTCATTTGGATTTTCCAAACTTTTTTTTTTTAATTCTTTGATTTATTAATATTTCATAATTAAATGACCATTATGAGTCGTGGACTTTTGGATTTTCCAAACTTTCTTAATTTCCAAAATCTAATCCAATATTTAATTCCAGAAAAACATTGAAAGATGTTAACTAGAATTCTACTGATGTGCCTAACATTTGGATCTATCCATCAGTTGGTATCCTGCATGATAACCAATGGCTACAAAGACCACAGTGACTTCATTTCCAAGATACCGGATACTAAATTGGTCCGTAATCTAGCTTTAATTGGAACCTTCCATTCAGCAGCATTCAAGCCGATGAAATACGTCCGTACTCAGAATTTGACCATATCTGAGCAACTACAAGCTGGAATTCGCGTGCTGGACATTCACTTGAGTGTAGACTTTGATAAGTTGAAAGTCTATTACAACCTGGAATATTTAAACTGCACTTTCGATGACGTACTAACCGAAGTACAAAGCTTTATGACTCTTAATCCTAAAGAACTGGTCATAATTCTACTGTCAGTAAACTTGAACTTCTTCTTGACCGACTCAATAAGTTGCGAAGTGCTTGATAGTTACGTCGGGAGATGGCAGAAGCGCGGATTAAAGTTAGTGCAAGATTGGTCGTTGTTGGAAGATTATGTAGGAGAGCACCGAGGTCACGTTTTGCTGGGCCATGTTAGAGAGTCAAATTTTAAAAGTTGTTCAGTGTACTTACCTTGCGAAGTTCAAGACAATTGGAACGTTACTGATGCAGAAAAGAAGTGGAAGTTTGTTAAAGACAGCCAGGATGGAATGTTGTTTGCTTATCATCCTTATCACTCGTGTTATATTAATTATTTGGCTAGTTATAATCCGTTGATAATGAATTATTGGCAACCTGATTCAGATGATGGAGCAGATGAATTGAAATTGGGGATGATGAGAATTGAAGATGTTAATGAAAGGATGGCGGGTTATTTTAGAAATCCTTATGATACTTTGGATATGGTTGTTACTGAATTTCCGAGTCAGAAGCTGATTGATAAGGTTATTGGCAGCAATTTTCAATAGAGGATTGGAAAATTTTGTAAAAATAATTCTATTATAATAAGTATTTAGGCTGCATTTGAAAATGCTGTATTTCTAGACACATAATTAAGGAATGACCTTGTAAATTGTGAACTCCTGACATTTTCAAAGATATAAGCTCATTACGATGTTAAACTCATCAAGACCTTTCATTTAAGTACCCACATCAATTTTTCATATATTTTATATATTTATATATATTATATTTTCTTCACTATTACTTTTATCAATTTTAGGAACAAAAAATTCAATCATACAGAGCGCAATACGAGATGTATTATTATCTTCACCGTAGTATGAATACTTAAATTTAATATACATATTCTATATAATTATCTATATATTTTCCATATATTTATCTCAATTTAATTTCCTTACAAAATAAATTTGACGTGTTATATGTTCAAAAAAATACCAATAAATCTTAAACCAATTAACAATAAATTCTTATTATTTCAATTATGTCGTTAATTAGTTGGAATTTCTTAAAAAAATAAAAATTGTTATTATTATTTAAAGACTTTATTAATTTCACTATAAAAGACTCAAGGTCACCCGATACATTCAAGAATGTCTTTGTTAAAAAAGACTCTTTGTTAAGATAAAGGTCATTAATAGCTTGTTTGTATTTTAACAAAATTCCGATAAACGATCTTTAGTGTCCAAAAAGATTAGCGCTTACTAATTATATACAGTATAAAAAAGGTTTAAAATTGAGAAAAAGAGCTTTTTTTAGTATTTGGAGGATTAGGCCAATCCTGCAGCCGGAATGAAGACTGCCTCCTTAAAAACTCAGAGTGCAGGGGATCGACTTGCAAGTGCTTGGCTAATTTCATCAAGCTTGATGGTAAGTGCATGCCGCTGATTGGAGGCACCTGTGAGAAGGAAGATGACTGCCGGATAGTCAACACTAACTGTGATGGAGTCTGCAAGTGTAGAGAAGGACTTGGGCCTGCAGAGGACAACACTTATTGCAGGGATAATACTATAAGTAAGTAAGCAGGGATAATACTATAAGTAAGTACCCAGAATGATAAGTGATGATGATGATTGACATGGTTGCTCCTTGAAGGAATTGGAAGCAGCTGCAAAGGCGATGACTGCAATTCGATCAGAAATGCCGTTTGCAAAGAAGCAAAAAGACGCTCGTTATTGTCCTCACTGAAGGAGAAAGAGAACACAAGGTTTAAGTGTCAATGCAAACCTGACCATTATCAGCTGGGGAAGGAATGTGCCAAGTTCGCGAAAGGTAAGTAGAGAAAGTGGCTGATTTGGAATGATTGGGATGATCACTGGTGGAGAATTCTATAGGGTTGAAGGACAAGTGTGAGGACAGGGTTGGATGTGCCAGGATTCCTGGAAGCAGGTGTGATAAGGTCAGCATGACTTGCCAGTGCTTAGAGAAGTACTTCTACCAGGTTGAAGACACTTGCTTCAAGAAAGCGAAAGGTAAGGTCACCTTGGATTAGAGGAGCGAATTGATGATGGAAGACTAATTGGTTAGTTTGTGGTAGGGCTAGGAAACGAGTGCAAGACTGATGAAGGTTGCACGAAAATTGATAACGCAGAATGTCTGGATAATACATGTCAGTGCAAGGAGGAATTCTACAATTGGGAAGGAGTGTGCTACAAATATGCAGATAGTAGGTTTTGGGAAAATGGTTGGACAAAAGTAAGTGGAAGAAATTAATTGGGAATATTGCAGATCTTGGAGAAATCTGTTATAATGATGGCTGCAAGAAGCTAAACGGCTCGGAGTGTGTTGAAGGAATGTGCAAGTGCAAGGTTGGTTGGTATTCTTTCGGCAATAAGTGTTTTGAGAAACCAACAGCAATTGGCGCAGAATGCAAAAGCGATGACGGATGTGAGCAGATAAGTGGCTCTAAGTGTGATAACGGTGTTTGCAATTGCAAGACTGGTTTCTATTTAGCAGAAAACAGCGGAATCTGCTTACCGTTGCCTAAAGGTTTGTAGTTTGGTTCCCTAAAAGTGTCCTCCGTTGATCCGTTGATGAAACTTACTGGGTTCTAGATTTGAACAAGAATTGCGTTGATACCCAAGATTGCAAAACGCTGTTTTCTGAGTGTTCCAACGGAACCTGCGACTGCAGGGAGGATTATGTTGTGCATAATGGAGTCTGCTACGGTCTGCCTGGTGCTCAATGTTATGGTGATAAGGATTGTGCCTCGGTATCTTATTACTGTGATTCGGGAACTTGTCAGAAGGCAGCTTCTGTGAATGGTAAGCTAGTAGGTTGCTTCAGTGATTCATTGGATGATACTTTAATGGTCTTTTTCTGGCAGTTACTTGCTACTGGGGGACACTGGGGCTCAATAGAGTGAATTTAAACGACAGTCTCTTCATCGGAAAGACTGAAGAGAGCGAACAAATGTATGTTCTTTGCCATCAGGATTCTAATGAGTTGGTATGTTGGAAGTTGACTTCAGCTTCACTGGTATGTTATCAACCTTGGTAAGCAAATTTGTTTTCTTTCAGATACTTAAGGGTCCTCTGGAATGGAAGAGTTCGAATTTCACTCTTGATACCGCTATCGTCCATTCTGATCCAGGAAATGGAAAGTTCACGCTCAAGTGTCGCGCACAACATAAAGGCAGTTTACAATTCGGACGACTTGAATTTCCTTCGTACAATAAGTGTAATTTTGATCATGATGAAGAAGTGTTTCGGTATGATAGTTTTGAGGTTTTAGTCGATAATTCATTGTAGAATATGTTTAAAATAATTGGAAAATTTAAACTTTAAGTATGATCAACTAGCGTTGAAAGAATCAATGAAAAATACCAATAAATATTAAACCTATTGATGATTCTTATCATTTCAATAATTTCATTAATTCGTAAGCATTGTCCAATCATTATTTGATGGCTATATTGTTCTTAGCATACATACGAGGATTTTATACTTTTCTTTGAAAGTCTTTTCAAAGTCAATCAATAGCTTCTTCGTATCTTAGTAAAATGCTCATTAACAAATTTTTGGTGTTTCGAAAGTAGACCAACGCTAAGTATATATTAATGTTAACGACCGAAACTTTTATCCTCTGTCATTGCATTAAGTTAAGTGTTTGATGACAAAATGCTCGTGAAAGTATTTCTATTGGTAAGTGTTTTTTTTTTTTTTAATTTAACTATTTTAGTTAATATGTATCCATAAGTATCCATATGAAGGAAAAAAGTAATTTATTTGTTCTTGTTTAAAAGTTAAGGAGATCCACGCAAAGTAGTCAAATTTTTAAAACTTCTTGAAAATTTGTAAATTCAATCTACGTAGCCAAATAATTAATAAAAAAATTAAAAAATAGTATTCCGGGATATTTAATCAAATAATTAGGTTTGAAAATTGTAATTTTTACATGTAAAATGGAGATTTCACCAGCCATGTATTTGGTTAAGAATTTAACGCAATTAACGATTTAAAAAAATTTTATTTTCATTGAATTTGATTGACAAAATAATAAGCTAAAGATTGAAACAATAAAAAGAGTAGCTTTCTGAACGTATTACGGTGATATTTTATATTTTTTATGAAAAATCACTCGGAGACTTGCGTTGTTTAAAGCCTTGTATTTGACTTGGCAACACCGCTTGCTTAGTTACCCAAAGCATAAGTAACCGCGTTTTTTTAAATGCCAGAACATCTTGGTCATTTTAGTTTGCCAGTAAACATAAATAAATTTGAAGGTTAGGGACACTCTTTTTGTGTTGTCAAGTGTATGCCGGTAATTCAGAGTTCTATATTTTTTATTAGTCAATTAAATGTTAATAATTATTTAATGAGTAAATTTATCGGAAATTTCCTCAAAAATGTTATTAATTAATTTAAAAATCAATTTTAAGATTTATAACAAAAATATTATTTTTTTATAGACATTCTTTACAATAGGAGGGTACTTGGATCTCCTTAAATAATTTCAAATTAGATTTATTAATCAGTGGCATCAATTTAGTTTGCAGTTGCGTTAATCGCTCAAAGCAATGGGTACAGAGTCATACATAACCCAGACAACATCCAAGTCAGAAGGATTTCTTAAAGATGTCTTTTCAAAGACTTCCTTGAGAACTCCAAATATGACGTCTTAAAGACTTCATTTTTCGGAACTCTTAATTAAGAAGTCTTTAAGAAGTTTTTTTTTAAGTTCTATAAGACATCACAGATATGAGCTCTTTGAGAAGTCTTTTTTCCGACTTCGTAAGAGGTCATAAAAATGAGCTGTTTAAGAGGTCTTTTTTTGGACTTTCCAAGACATCAGAAATATGAGCTCTTTAAGAGTTCTTTTTTTCTGACTTCGTAAGACATCAAGAATAAGAGCCTCGTCAAAACATTCGGCCTGAGCACATTTAGAGCGTCCATGTCTTCATGGAACTTCAATTCCCAATAGGAAGACAGCTTTTCGAAGATCTCATGGTTCTCGTCTGAAATTTGGGCGCCATACTTCTTGTCCAGCCAATCTGCTATCGCGTCTCTAGCGTTGGTCAGCAATTGGGCCTGGTAAGTCTTTATTTCCGCGTCATTCTTGTTTTTTATAGAGTTTTCCAAGTTTTCGATAGACTCGCGGATTTTTTGGAGCATTGAAGACAGCATTGTCTTCTTGTCTGGATCAGTGACGCTGTGGATCGTTAAAGACAGGCTTGTGATCACCTCGCGGGTGTCTTGAAGAATCTGCTCCAAGCTTGAGGAATTTTTTTCGAGGTAAGACTCGAAAAGGTAGTTTTGACGGGCGCGCTTTATTATTTTGTCGTCGATGTCTGTTATGTTCATTACGTAGTGCACGTCGTAGTTGAAGTAGTCGGATAATACGCGGCGTAAGATGTCGAAGGATATGTATGACCTGAAAATGTATGTATTAGCATGTATTATTATCAGATTATTTAAAAAAAAAAATATACCTAGCATGTCCCATATGTGATGCATCGTAAACAGTCGGACCGCAGCTGTACCAAAGTACCCGGTTTCCATTTTGAGGCACAAATTCTTCTTTTTGTCTCGTTAAACTATTAAATAATTTCAACGTTGGCTTATCAGAACTCGGAATTTCCCAAGCCGGCTGCGTTCGCTTACTCATCCTGTTAAATCTATTCGGAATAATATGATGATGAAATAACCAACAAATTTATAAAATACTTACCTGTTTATTCGCAACTTTATTTTTAAGTTAATTAAATAATAGTAATAATAATAAAATTATGTACTTACCTGTATAATTACAAAATATATAAATATTAATTTGGCTTGTTTTCACACGTGTACTGACAGTACTTTACTGTTCTATTTTGTTGTGATATATATATACAACATATGTGTACGAGTTTTGTGGTAATGTGACGCGACCTCACGCAAATGTGGACATAAGCGGAAGCTTTTATAGTAATTGAGAATGTATCTTGTGCCGGTAAGTTAGAGATTACAGATCGACAGTAGAAATTGTAAATTTTGTTTTTTTCTAATTACGGTAATAATAATTTCTGTCTAACCTTCTTTTTGGAAAATTCTTGGATATATAAAATTTAATAAATTTGTTATCAATATTTTGGGATGATTGGTAACCCTAGTAATATATTATAATTTAAGTCATAATCAATAACTTGATCCAAAATTAAAAGTGATTACTCACACCTACTAATTTTTTAATTTTAATAAATATTTATTTCTTATATTAGTTACAACAGAGGGGGTATAAATAAATATATAAATATAAGTATATAATGGCTGATTAATAATTAATAACGATAGATGACTATATTGCCGGGATATTTTATCAAACGGTTTTATATCATTTGGACAATGCTGTCACGAAGGAAGTGACACTAAAAATCATTCAATACAAAAAAATTAACATTGTCAAAGTATTTAATAAGCAATGACTTGTGATAAATACTAACACTACAACTAGCCTCGACTAGTTTTTCACAGTCTTCGATCTGACGTCATCCATGCGAACTAATCAAAGCTCTATAATCAAAATTGAAGCGTAGTTACTGTTTCTAAACAATTAGCCCGTGATACAGTCACATCACTTGTCACACACATGCAATGACATCAACTTCACAAAAAGTGCTTGAGATTTTGATTTACTCGACTGCAGACAGCACCTATCAATAGATTACTTCTATAGCTTTTTGAATAATGAATTGAAATAACGATCAGATATTCTAAAATAGAACTTTTCGGTATATTGAACAGTCACACTTATATTATATCTAGACTGGTGAATCTAGAGACTTCTACTGAGATAAAAGGATTTTAGATGTGGGTAGATCCACAAGTCCCATTTTCCTTATTTATATTGTTCGCTGCTTATCTCGTTAATTGGCATTGTTTTAGAACTGTTTTCCTGTTTTGCGCCACAATAATAGTAATGATATTACTTATTCGAATAAAAATAAGTTTATTATGTATTGTTATCATTTGGTTAATTTGTACAACTCGCCGTTATATGACAGATATCATTAGGTATTGACCGAATTGACATTAAACGTTAAACCAATTCTTATAAATTGGGGATATGGAAATTTTCTATTCAATTGTTATATATTTTCATTATTTTTGTCATACATGACGTTGATACGACGCTTTTATCCCTTACTTACTATAACACCTCTCGATTCTTTATAAAGAAAATTTTTAACTAATCGAGGAATAATTAAAGGCGACAATTTTCTTGGATTTAAACATCATTTTTTTCTGTGGAAGTAAAACAACAAAAAATTCTTTCAAAATTTTATTTAACTTCTAGGAAAAAAACTATACAGTATCAAGACTAAATCTTATTGAGAAAATGAGAATTCTTGAATTAAATTGTATTCTATAACTTATAGCCTAAATCACAATAACTAATAATGAAATTGCAATTTACTTTGGCTTGCTTACTTATATCTATTTATTATTACACTAATTAGTTATACTGACTAATCTTCTTCACTTTCTTCACTCCGTGATTGGCATCCCCATTATAGTTTTTATTTCCGTCGGATTTAATTCCAGTTTCCATTTGTTTAACATCTACATACTCAAAATTGTTCTTTTCTTCAGTGACAATATTTCCGGTAAGATAGTGTGCTTTTGATAAGCTCCCTGGAAGATGCAACTGTCCCGCTTAACGGAATATTCATAAAGTATGAATTACTGTTATAATATACAATTTAGGAAAACAAAGTACCGTAGAATTAAATAAAATTTTGCAACCTCAAAATACCGTTCTGCTTACAGTAAACACAGTCGGTAGTCTGGCGCTCCGTTGACAACGGATTTGAACGGAACTTGGCGCCAGATTCTACCGAATCTGTGGAAATAGCCTAGTTTTTTCTTTTTAATGAATTTTGATAGAAAATTACAATAACAAAATAATTTTTCCGATTTCTTTTTCAACTGCATGCACATATGACACTAAAAATAGGTGCCAATAATTCAAAAAGACACAAATTTTCGAAGCATTTAATAAACACAATTAATACTCACATAAGGTTAACATGTGCAGGGCGAGCATAAAGACTAATACTTTTGCAATCATCCTGTCAGCGCTGTTAAAACTCAACTGTAAAATCCGCGATTAATATTCGCGGTTTATATAAGTTCAATTATCAGCATGAACTGGCGTCAGTTCTGGATGTCTGTTTTAAGTTTGTTTTTTCATTGGCTGATCAGAAGAGTTAGTCACTCATATCAAATGACCAGACCACATGAGTGCTTCCGCTCAACAAAAGTTCACGTTTGAAAAGTGAAATCATTTTGTTTAATAAGGGCTAGCTCTATCCTGGCCATTTTGTCTCTTAGTCACTTAAGAAATATCGTAGGCGTTAACAGTCTATGAGTCAGCTTGTTTGCGCTTCAATTACTGGAAAAACTAGATATTTGGTGGATTAAAATAGGCATGCATTGATATCTTATTTCACAGCAAAAGTGTGGAATACTATAAAGTATTGTTGAGAAAAATATCACTAATCAATAATGATCGGTAGAAACAATAAATATGTTCGGAATGTTCAATAAACGCAATCAATAATCACCTAAGGTCTCCATGTACCAGAATAATTATAACTCTTATCAAGTGACCCGACCTTGTAAATTGTATGTGACCAGTCTTCCCAATTAAGTGCTTTCAGTAGAAATTTAATGAATATTGGAAGGTATGAATAATTAAAGGCGACAATTTTCTTAGATTATAACATTAATTATTGCGTGGAAGTAAAACAACCAAAAATTCTTTCAAAATTTTATTTAACTTTCAATTCATGTGTTGATAAGTAACTATCAATACAAAACACTTAAAATTTTTGAAGTTACAAAACTATATAGTGTTTACACTAAAGCTAATTGAGAAAATAAAAATTATTGAATTAAATTGTATTCTATAACTTATTGCTTATATACCATCCCGAGAAAAAATTTTTCTATATAATCATATATAATTGTATATAATCATATATGATTATATAGGGAATCACATATATAATTATATAAAATTATATATAACCATATATAATTATATATAATTATACATGATTATATATGGAATTGTATATGAGGTCATATATAATCATATATAATTATATATAATCATACATGATTATAAATGGAACTGTATATGAGGTCATATATAATCATATATAATTATATATAAGTATATATAATCATACATGATTATATATCGAATTGTATATGAGGTTATATATAATCATATATAATTATACATAACTATAAATGGAGCTATACACAGCCATGCAAGATTATATATAATCATACATGATTATAAATGGAACTGTATATGAGGTCATATATAATCATATATAATTATATAGAATTATATATAATCATACATGATTATAAATGGAACTGTATATGAGGTCATATATAATCATATATAATTATATAGAATTATATATAATCATACATGATTATAAATGGAACTGTATATGAGGTCATATATAATCATATATAATTATATAGAATTATATATAATCATACATGATTATAAATGGAACTGTATATGAGGTCATATATAATCATATATAATTATATAGAATTATATATAATCATACATGATTATAAATGGAACTGTATATGAGGTCATATATAATCATATATAATTATATAGAATTATATATAATCATACATGATTATAAATGGAACTGTATATGAGGTCATATATAATCATATATAATTATATAGAATTATATATAATCATACATGATTATAAATGGAACTGTATATGAGGTCATATATAATCATATATAATTATATAGAATTATATATAATCATATATAATTACATATAAATTATATATGATTATATTTGGCCATTTTTCATATATAATCATATATAACCAATTTATATATAAATATATATAATTATATATAAATATTTTTTCTCGGGCAATGATTTAAAATAAACATATCATTTATTGTCTGAAACACAATGACATATTATAGTTATTTATCGTTACACCAGCAAGTCTTACAGAACATCATACTCAATTCCCCTAAACTTAAAGATATTGTCAGTGTGAACATGAGAGTTTGTTCTCCTTTAGCATCTCGTTCCATGTTCCCTAAAAACCATATTTTCACCGCTAAAATGGTTATCATAATCACATAATAAAGATCCGTTAACTTCGTGAATTTGACGATTTCCCCAAAAGATGCAACTTTCCCGCGAGATATATTGTCTAGTTTTATCAGTAACGTTGTTAGGATTTCCGGTCCCAAATCCAACGCGGTTGTAAATTGGTAGGTCTTCAGAATATTCGTTGCGAATCTGCTGTATATCGACTGCTGTCAAGTTATAATGGTGGTCATTTCCAGTAAACTTGTTTAATACTTCTATGATGGAAGATCCCAGCACTTTGTAACTTAAATTATCACCCACATAGTAGTTCTCGTGTACAGAAATAGTACCTCCGAGAGCTTCATAGGTTGAACTGTCGCCAACAAATAGGTTAGACATTAAATTTATCTTCTCTGCAATTATGCGTATAGCGTAGTTGTTTCCAACAAACGCGTTTCTATAAAGCTTGACGTGATTGGCAATTATGTAGAGAGTTTTTCCTTCCACCGGAATTATACTGTCTTCTATTGTTATACTTTTTGCTTGCAGCTTACTAGAGTTTTCCATATTCAAAATTTTTCGTTTCTCTATAAATGTCCCTTCATGAATTATATTAGGGTAATTTAAAATCTCGATCACTCCTTGAGAAGGATAACTTGGTACTGTCGGCTTCGTCATCGTCGTCGGTATCGTCGTTGACGTTGAAGTCGGCGTCGACGTCGCCATATGATCCGATTGCTTTACTGGAAAAAAAAATTTTGATAAATTAAAATATCCAGAAATATTTAACAATTGATATTTAACATCTCTTAAAACAATTTTCTCACATAGCTTGATGTGTCTGATTATGGTTCAGACCATGATATTTTTAAAAAATTAACTGATCGATAATGATCATTAAAAACAATAAATATTTTCAAAGCTTTAAATAAACACAATTAATACTCACTCATTGTTGCGCACGTCGCCATGTGCACAGCGAGCACGAAGACTAGTAATTTTGCGAACATCTTGTCAGAGCTGCTGGAATACAACTGTGAATTTCGCAATTCTTGTTCGGTTTTTATAGGATCGGCTGCCAACATGGACGAACGTCAATTCTAGAGTCAACGTCGAATTCTCGGAATGTCTATTATTAGGTTGTTTTTAAAATGGCTGACCGGAATAATTAAATCCTCTTATCAAGTGACCTGACCACGTCAGTTCCACGTGACTGGAATTCCCAATTGAATGCTTTTGGTAGGTATTTAAAAAATATTGTAGGTATCAAATGTCGACGAGTCAACTTGTTTGTTTCAATCAACAAATTGGTGGATGGAATATTCCTGTTACCAATCCTGGCATATCGTCGTAGCAACATCATTCAAAATCATGCATAGCGTAATATGGATGTCATTATTAATACAGACGAAAGCCAATGGAACTCCCGGAAAGCCAATGACTGGAATTTACCGCATTGTTTTCTCTTATCTAATCGATGCGCCTCTATAGATAGTTGGTACTTGCTATGACTCGAGAACTCACTACCCATCAATTGTATGGCATCTCTCCAAAATTCGGAAGGCTCATCCTCAAATCAAAAGCATTGATTATCGGAAAGGTTTCTTTCCTAGATTTAGTAGACTCCGTATTTTATATAGACACTACTATTTTCAGCGGAACACTATTTATTCCAAGACATTTAACCGTTGGGCTCCGTTCACTCGAACACTGAGGTTCTTAGTATTATAGCAACTGATGGGTAACTAATTTCCATAAGGTTAAGTTTTTAGGGTGTGATTTTTAGTGGTGTATTAATTTTTGGTAATGAGTGAATAGTTGATGACCTAAGATTAAATAAATGTGAGTTTCTTATAGCTTTTTGAATAATGAATTTATATATATATATATATATATATATATATATATATATATATATATATATATACTCCCCCGTATACTTCAACTAATAAAAAGCGAAAAGTTAGAAAAAAAAGTAAATTCATTATTCAAAAAGCTACAAGCAACTCACATTTGTCGATTATTGAGTCATCAACTATTCACTCTTTACCATAAATTAATACACATTATAAATCACGCATTATAAATTAAGCATGAAAATTAGCTTGCTATTAGGCTATGTGATACTAAGAACCTTAGCATCTACGAAAACAGTGCACAACGATTGAATATTTTGGAACAATCGATGTTCCATTGAAAGAGTAATTTCTATATTTAACTTGAAATCTATTGAATCTAGAAGGAAAACGCTTCCGTATCAAAAAAATCCACATGGGTTTATATGGGAATCCACATAGCAAAGGATGGATTCATATAGGGACCTATAGGAATCCACATAAGAACCTGTGGGTTCATAGATTCCTACCTGGGAAATCTACATAGGAAGTATGGATTCCTATAGTGAATTCATATAAGTTAAATAAACAGATCTTGTAAGAACGTGACTTAGGCCAGTGAGTAGCGTAGAAGACTGTTAACCATAAGGTACCGGGTTCAAGTCCATCAGACGTAAGCAATTTTTAATAAATTAATAGCAATTATTTAATAATTATTTTTGGTTTTTTAAATAAGTTTTTTTTATTTAACAATGCGATGAATTCCAGTCACTGGCTTTCCGGGAGTTCCATAGGTCGGTTATCATCTAACAAGTGATGTTAAGTTGATTCATCCACGTGTTTCTTTAAAGTAGCTTTCGGTAAGTATGCACTTAGTAATCCGCTTCACATATAGGGCGGGGGATTATCATCTCAATAATGACATCCATATTGCACTATGCATTACCTTGAATGATGTTGCTACGTCGCTATGCCAGGATTGGTAACAGGAATATTTCATCCGTCGATTTGTTCATTTAAATAAACAAGTTGACTCATCGACTGTTGATGCCTAAAATATTCTTTAAACACAAGTCACGTGGACCTCACGTGGTCGGGTCACTTGGTGCGAGGAAATAATTATTCCGGTCAACCATTTTAAAAACGACCTAATAATAGACATTCCGAGAATTTGACGTTGACTCTAGAATTGACGTCCGCCCATGTTGATAGCCGATCCTATAAAAGCCGAACAAGAATTGCGAAATTTACAGTTGGATCCCAGCAGCTTTGACAAGATGTTCGCAAAATTACTAGTCTTCGTGCTCGCTATGCACATGGTGATGTGCACACATATGTGTGAGTAATAATTATGTTAATTAAACGCTTTAAAAATATTTATTGTGTCTAACGATAATTATCAAGCAGTTAATTGTTTTTTAAATATATTATTGTATGTCCTTAGTGCAAAGGCAATATATAATATCTCAAATTTATATCTGTTATAATTCTAGTATGATCAATTTTCATATTGATCCATATCAAAAATTATATCAGACCATAATTAGACACATAAAGCTATGTTAGAAAATTATTTTACGGGAAATTCAAGAACTATTGATAACAAAAGTATTCCTACGTATTATTTTTTTATAGACATTCTTTACACTAGGAGGGTACTTGGATCTCCTTAAAGCGGGTCTCCTTATACTAATCAGTATTGTTTTGAAATGAGATATCAAAGTATGCTTATTTTAATTAATCAAAATTTTTATTTTTCCAGCTATTACAAAGCATCGGGAACCGCAGATGACGCAACCAACTAATGCTTCTTGTATGAACCAAGCCCTTAGTATGCCATATCTACTGATGATAGAAATGGGAGTCTTGTCGGCAATAATATTAGCTAGTAGGATTCGTTAAATTGTTTATTAACTTTTATTTAAATAAATTTATAAATTTTTTACGATGTTTTTTATTAATAAAATCATGTTGTATCAAAAGCTGTACAGAAAAGTCTCGCAAAGAACGGCATTAAAATTTACCTGTAAAATTTTATCATTTTCTGTTTACTATATTGATGTCTCGTGGAAAGACGACGAGCATATGAAATAGATAAATGCAGTAAAAAATAAAGTAAAATGAATAATTATCATAAATAATTAATATTTCTGTTAATACAGTGTAGAAAAAATTATCTATTGAATTTTAGTAAAATTTTGAAAGAATTTTTTGTTGTTTTCTTTCCACAGAAAAAATTGATGTTTTAATCCAAGAAAATTGTCGCCTTTAATTATTCCTCGATTAGTTAAAACTTTTCTTTATAAAGAATCGGGACATGTTATAGTAAGTAAGGGATAAAGGTGTCGTATCAACGTCATGTGTGACAAAAATAATGACAATATATAACAATTGAATAGAAAATTTCGATATCCCCAATTTATAAAAATTGGTTTAACGTTTAAGGTCAATTCTGTCAATACCTAATGGTATCTGTCATTCAACGGCGAGTTGTATAAATTACTATAAATTACAAATACTAAGAACCTTAGCATCCATAAAAACAGTGCTCAACGATTGAATATTTTGGAACAAATAGTGTTCCGCTGAAAATAGAACTGTCTACATATTATTCGTAGTCCACTGACTCCAGAAAAGGAATCTTTTCGATAGGCAATGTTCTTGATTTGAGGATGAGCCTCCCAAACCTTGGAGAGATACTATACAATTAGTGGGTAGTGAGCTCTCAAGTCATAGCAAGTACCAACTTTCTGTGGGAGCGCATCGATTAAATAGGAGAAAACAATGCGGTAAATGCCAGTCATTGGCTTTCCGGGAGTTCCATAGGTCGGTTATCATCTAACAAGTGATGTTAAGTTGATTCATCCACGTGTTTCTTTAAAGTAGCTTTCGGTAAGTATGCACTTAGTAATCCGCTTCACATATAGGGCGGGGGATTATCATCTCAATAATGACATCCATATTGCACTATGCATTACCTTGAATGATGTTGCTACGTCGCTATGCCAGGAAGATGTGCAGGAAGTTGTGCAGTT